ATTCTAATGGATGAACAAAAACCCACAACTTCATGGGTGGTGTAGCCAAATCTAAAGTGATTAAGCTAATTTCCTTCAATGACCAGAAGCTAAAAGGATAAGAGAAGGAATACTCTTAAATGGAGATCACAGAGCCAGAATATATTTCCTGAAGCAAGGTGTTCTTGCCTCACCACCCCCCCCCCCCCGCCCCAAAAAAATGTGATGAACTTTTGGTCTCTAATTCATGTCTATTTTGTCTCTAATTTGTGACTACAAGATAGTCATAAAGAATTTTTATATTTAAAAAATTAGCTGCACCTGTATCTTTAGCAGAAATTATGGGCTACCTCTCAGGGCTTTGATTAAATATTTAGTGTCTCTATAGCAAAAAGCATAAAAATGTGTAGATAAAGTTACTGAAACTTTTAAATCAACAGTCAGCACTTTAAAAAATGAAACTGAATGTTTGAACTTTGATTGAGTAAAACACTTTTGCTATTTCAGGTTATTTAACACCCTAATATAAATGAGTACACCTGGCACCATTTCTAATACCTTTCTCTAATAAAAGGAGCCAAGGCTCTTTCGGGAAATAATTTATTATAAAATTGGGGCAGGAGATATATGAGATGAGCCTGGGGAATCTTGTAGTGTCAGAAAGTAAGGAAGTACCGAACACCTACACACACACACACACACACACACACACACACACACACACACACGCTGATAGGATTATGTCAAAGGGACACAGGAGCCAACTGAAAGAGCTTCCAGTCAGGGGGCAGCTCCAGCAGAAAGAATACTTATTCTCTAAAACCTCCAAAAATATCACAGCCCACCTCATTGGCTCTGATTGCTGCTGGCTGGGTCATGTGCTATTTTTCAGCCTATCCCTGTGGCTCCAGGACTGTGATGCTCTGATTGGCCAAGCTTGATCCACATGGCACGGAAGGAGAAATAACAATGTCCATTTCAATTTTCTTGTTAAAAATGACATGCAAATTCTAGATTTTCAAAAATATGTATAGCTGTCTTTTGGGGCCCTTAATCTGAAAGAGAAAATAGATAAAGCGTTAGTTGCAAAATAGGTCAAGAAAAAACCCTCCACTTTTCAGGAAAATTCAGCGAATAAATTAAAGGTAACTACTACCTGCAAGACCACCATGGACTCCAAGTTATCTAAACTGCACTGAAGTATAAAATTCCTTCTTCCCTGCCTTCACTGTGTGAGATGCTCAGAAATTCTGCCTGCTCCAAGCAGCACTGAGCAGAAGCTCAGGCAAACCATTCAGTCCTCACCTTTCATTGGAGCCTCATGAGGAATCACCCTCCAGGCCGGAGCTGGAACTGGTTTGAGTC